TTTCCTCTTATGCTGCCACTAGGCTATATGGATATTTTCCCTCTTTTGTGCGTTTTGTAAGGGAGCCAAGAGACATGGTGTGCCCAGTCCAACTGGTCAAATACTGTGGTCAGGAAGAGCATAAAGGCTGATGCAGCAGGAGGCTGCATGACAGTATCTCCCTGTGAGCTGGTCTGATGCATTATTCTATTAATACGCAGAGATGAGAGGGCTAGAAAGGCAGACAGGATGATAAATAGCGGTGGGCGTGAGAGAAAGAGAGCAAGGGAGACCATGCAGTGTCAAGCTCCAGCTCCTTGACTGAGGGCAGAAGAGGAAGCAACTCAAGGATAGGATGCTGCGTGTGGATGTGTGGCTCTTCAGCAGGGAGTTCCTTGTTGTGTTCAACCCCAGAGACACGGTCCCAGTTTGTCCGCCGGTGGTTCTGTCGACCATAATGTGTATCTGTGCATACAGATGGGTGACAAGTAACGCAGATGTTTATTCATACAGAATAAAGAGGCTGACTAAATTATTTGGTCTCTGCAACTTTACACGTATTGGAGAGTTGGACTGATATGTTCATTTCCAACTTCCAAATGGCAGAATATCAGAGGATTTCCTTGAAGTAGCTCTAACTCGGTGAATTGAAGCTCTTCTGGTGGCTCAACACTTCATCATACGTTGTTCTTTGTCTTCCTTTCGCCTGTGTCAGGGTGCTCATAAAAGATATGGAGGTGCGGTATAGTGAAGAGCTCCAACACCCGAGCAGCAGCGAAGGGTGAGATAATGCTTTGTCTAGACATTCAAAAGTCATTTCATTAGCCAGCGATTCGGGCCTCCCCCTCCCTCACCTTCCAGCCCCGCAGACGCTTGAATGTCCAGTAAAAAGACAGGGTCATCAGAGCGTCTCGGCCCGTGTCCGTAGCCATTAGGCCCCAGGAAGTAGTCCCAATATATCCAGGGAAGGGACCATCGACCAGATTACCGGAATAGGGGATGGCTGGGGTGTGTATATATATATATATATATATTTATTTATTTTTATAGCCAACTTAAATTGTTCCAAACAATGACAACATGTAAAAAGCACTGTTTTGTATTAAAAGACTCTTCTGTAGGTTTGGTGGGTTTCCGAAGGAGTCCTCATCAATGCCTGACAGAGAAATAATCTCTCTGAAAACACTGACTCCTATCATTTCAACACACTGTCTCCACACATTGGAAAATGCCTCTCTGGTATGCTTAATTGCAGTGGGCGGGACACACGGTGGCTTTAGGTATGCTAAATGGAACGACCTTGCCTACCGAAGGCATTCAAACATTGTAAATGTGCAACAATGGGCCTTTACAATTTAAAACTTGGCAGGTTCAGAAATTCCGACAAACTTCATGAGGACATTGTCAAGAGAAAGTCTTCGGTGCCTTCTTGTTTGGTTAGAGGGTTCGGTTGATTAGCTTCTAGATCATGATGTTTGAACTTCAGTTTGGATGAAGGGTGATTCATGAGGACTGCAGCAGCTTTTCCCAATGCTGTATACTCGGTCACGTTGTTGCATGTGTATGTTGTCATGAGATAAAATTCCAGCCGTTTGACCTCTAACTTTTGGTCTATTTATTGACTTTATCTGGGTTGCGCACGGGGCTCTAAACCGGGGCTCTAAACCACTGTTTGTGCAGCCTCGAGTGGCAAAAATCAGCTGGGCAGAATTTCCTTTTTTCAAAGCTGAATATCAAGAATGTCCTGGTCATTTCCAAATATTTTCGTTAGCTTTGTTTCAGAGGCTTCCCCAGTTGAAGGGAACATACATTTCCTCCAGTTCATTGCACCATATATGCAATGTCAAGTGAACCCTTTGACCAAAATGTTGAACCTGACGGAGAGTCAATGACTGACTAAGATCGGGGGGTTGGGGAGGAACTCATGTGATGCTAATGCAAAGAGCAGCACGCCCATCGCCCGGCCCGTTGCGACCCACAGCTATCCTTAATCCCGCTGGCAGATATTTAATGTTGGAATTTTCCATGGAAGGACCAAGCCGGCTCTGCGTCTGTCCATCCATCTTTGTGTCCATCAGTCTGCGCCTGTGATTATCCCGCCAGTGCTCCGACGCTGCTCAGTGACACAACTCATCATTCAAATTATTTTTAGTGTAAAGTCCAGGCACAGGAACTGGTAATCCAAGGAGTGACATCTGGCCGTCAGGGTTTATGTGATTAGCAGAGAGCCTCGTCCCTCATAGCTTAGCGGACGATCTTCGTTACCTCTCCGCTCTAGCAGCGCGTGAGCGCTTGAAGCAGCAGAAGAACAAAAACTTGATGATTGTTCATATGTACATTATGTGCAGATGGTTGAGGCCCAAATAAGTCTTTCCGAAAGCCTGTGTTGCCACATCAGCTACTGCACAACACCCACCCAAGTGACAGTGAGCTCCCACAATGTGCACTGCATCTTCAATCCTTCAGCATTAGGGCTAAGACCAGATGACCAGGCAGATAACTAGTAAATCCAAGCAGGGCCATAGAGCAACTAAAGAAAATCGAGACAAGGAGGATGGAGAGGGTTTAAGACTGTTAAAATAAAACTGCCAATTTCCTACTGAAATGATCACCATGACAAAGTGACCAGGCACGTCTCCTCCTGGGATATGTTCTGAGAGCAAAACCTTCCAGCCTTCAAGATGACAATTGGACAACTCAGCAGCAAGCTGTTTGCATGCATGGCCCTTTTTAATGTCAGCGTAATGTTTCTAATGTTTGCGTTCTTTGATTCCGGCATCAGTCGATCTACAGCGAGGCCTAATTGTGCGGCCGTTGCCGCGTCCAGGTGGAAGCTCTTAGTTTGATAGCAGTACGCCAATATGGGGTTTAATTCAGGAAACATTTAGGAAACATTTATTTACCAAAATATGCCAAACATACAAGGAATTTGTCTTGACAGTTAGTGCGCCACAGTAGACAGACAAGACAGCAGTGCACAAGTAATAAAATAAAGTAAAATGAAATGCTAATGCAATGGGTTAGTAGAATAAGGCTATGGGTTGGTATAAAACAAGGGAATAAAGTTAAAAAATTTAAATATTAAAAAAGTTAAAAAGAAAAATATTAAGCATAGTGCACTAACGAACAAGTAACAAACAAGTAACAAAGTGACGAGTGACGACAAAGTGATGAATTACAGTTAAAGTGGCATGTGCAGTATGAAGGGGAGTGACCGGTGGAATCTTCTAGTCAGTCAGTGGGGGACCGGCTCTGTTGATGAGCCCGACTGCCGACGGGAAGAAACTGTTCGTGTGGCGGGAGGTCTTAGTCCTGATGGACCTCAGCCTCCTGCCAGATGGAAGGGGCACAAACAGTTTTTGTCCGGGGTGAGAGGGGTCGGCCACGATCTTTTTAGCTCGCTTCAGAGACCTGGAAGCGAACAAGTCCTGCAGGGACGGCAGATTGCAGCCGATCACCCTCTCTGCAGAGCGGATGACACGCTGCAGCCTGCCCTTGTCCTTGGCTGTGGCTGCAGCGTACCAGACGGTGATGGAGGAGCAGAGGATGGGCTCGATGATGGCCGTGTAGATGTGGACCATTATCGTCTTTGGCAGGTTGAATTTTTTCAGCTGCCTCAGGAAGAACAACCTCTGCTGAGCCTTCTTGGTGATGGAGCTGATGTTCACCTCCCACTTGAGGTCCTGGGTGATGATGGAGCCCAGGAAACGGAAGGAATCCACAATAGTGACGGGGGGGAGTCACACAGGGTGATGGGGGAGGTTGGGGCTCTGTTCCGCCAGAAATCCACAACCATCTCCACTGTCTTTAGAGCGTTGAGCTCCAGGTTGTTCTGACTGCACCAGGACACCAGATGGTCAGACTCCCACCTGTAGGCGGACTCATCCCCACCAGAGATCAGTCGAATGAGGGTGGTGTCATCCGCAAACTTCAGGAGCTTGACGGACTGGTGACTGGAGGTGCAGCTGTTGGTGTACAGGGAGAAGAGCAGAGGGGAAAGAACGCAGCCTTGGGGGGAACCGGTGCTGATGGTCCGAGAGGCTGAGACATGTTTGCCCAGCTTCACATGCTGCTTCCTGTCAGACAGGAAGTCTGTGATCCACTTGAAACAGTTTAAACAGAGCATTACCGCACGTCTCGTATAATCTTCTTTGTGCTGTAATATTCATGTCAATGTTACAAACAAGCCTGTTTGCAAAAAGAGAGATAAAGAAAGGGACTATTTTTGGGCCGTTGTTTGCTTGGAGAAGCTTTTGCTTATTCTGAGGCAGCTTGTTCCCAGGAGTTCAGCGCACCGCCTCGCTGCAGTTTTGCTTTTGTTTTGTTTTCTTAGGGATGTGTAGTTGTGACAGAGTTCAGTGCCCTCCTGTTCTCATACTTATTTGACCAAAATGTTTCCCTCAACCTTCCCTAAAGTGAGCAATTGTGGACCAAAAAGTGCAGGGGTTGTGTGTGTAGACAGGAAAGGAAATTGCAATCTCTCAGACTTCTTTGTGCGCATGTTTTTGTGTATATTTTTGTGGTGGTCGTCTGTCTCCGTGCAGTGACCCATGAAGGACGCCCTTTGGTATTCACTTATAGCCTATTTACTTTGCAGCAGATGTGAATGGGGAAGAAATTATATTTCCTGAGCACGAACCAGTGGTTTCCATGAGTCTCGTGCTAAACTATCTGGCTTTTATTTATGTTACATAACAATAGCAGAAACAATATTTTCCTTAACCACCATTTTAATGATGCAGAGATGACACTTCTTTGCGTTGAAATAATTTAATGCAACAAATGCTTATTTACATTTTGAAGGTAATTTAATGCTTGTTAGTTTACTAAGTTATTAGAGGTTAGTTTTACAGGTTAACGTCCTGACCCATCAGCATTTATGCTCGGTCCTGCTCTGACCCAGGTTGTCTTTATTTAAAGCTACTGGCTTTACCACTCGTGTTTCAGACCACTCTCAGTTTCATAACCTCTCCCTTTCATCCCCCTTCTCTCTTTGCCCCCCCCCCCCCTTTCATTCACAGGTATGGCCTCGCAAGTGCAAGTGTTCTCCCCTCACACTCTCCAATCAAGTGCCTTCTTTAGCGCGAAGAAACTGAAAGTGGAGCAGAGCTGTAACTGGGATATGACAGGGTACGGCACCCACAGCAAAGTCTACAGCCACAACAGCAGCAAGAACTTGTCGGCCGCGACCGGCCCCCTCGGCATCAACAGCTCCCTGCAGATCGGCAAATCCGCACTGCCCTACGAGCATCCGGCACTCATCTTCCCGGCCAGCGTGGGCCACATTGTGGTCGCCTCAGCCAGCAGCACTTCGGGGGCCGCGCGGTCTTCTGCTGGGCAGCGGGGGTGGGGGCAGCAGCAGCGGTTGGTGGAGGCGGCGGCGGCGGCGGCGGGGTCGGCGGCGTGCTCGGTGTTCACAACCTGACGCGCCGCAGCACGGTCAGTCTCCTCGACACCTACCAGCGATGCGGGCTGAAGCGCAAAAGTGAGGAGTTTGACAACAACAGCAGCGTGCAGATCATCGAGCAGCACGGCCCGGCGATGATCCAGAACGGTGCAAGCCGGCGGGGTGGCGGTGGCCACGGTGGCCACCGCCACCTCCACCGCAACGTCTAAGAACAGCGTCTCCAACAGTGAGGGCGACTACCTGCTGGTGCAGCACGAGGTGCTCTGCTCCATGAACAACACCTACGAAGTGCTGGAGTTCCTGGGACGGGGGACCTTTGGTCAGGTGGTCAAGTGCTGGAAGAGGGGCACCAACGAGATCGTGGCCATCAAGATCTTGAAGAACCACCCGTCGTACGCCCGGCAGGGTCAGATCGAGGTCAGCATCCTGGCACGTCTCAGCACGGAGAGTGCAGATGACTACAACTTTGTGAGGGCCTACGAGTGCTTCCAGCACAAGAACCACACACGTGCCTGGTATTTGAGATGCTGGAGCAGAACCTGTACGACTTCCTCAAGCAGAACAAGTTCAGCCCCCTGCCGCTCAAATACATCAGACCCGTCCTGCAGCAGGTGGCATCGGCGCTAATGAAACTGAAGAGCCTGGGCCTGATCCACGCTGACCTGAAGCCAGAGAACATCATGCTGGTGGACCCGTCCCGGCAGCCCTACAGGGTCAAGGTCATCGACTTTGGCTCAGCCAGCCATGTGTCAAAAGCAGTGTGCTCCACTTATCTGCAGTCCAGATACTACAGGTAAGAGCTGCTGCTGCTGCTTTGAGTTGATATTGTTTTGAAATGGATGTGAAGGACTTTATTTAGGCATTTTATGTAACACTGTTGAGGGAATGGCACAGAGAGAAAGCGATACGTCCTCCTGTTTGTTTGTGCGCGTTTTCTTTGGATGATCATTGTACTCTCTGCATCTTGTTTGATTTATCCCGGCTTTAATAGGAAGGTTTTCCTGGTTGAGCTGATTATTTGGCCAAACACCGAGATTTGCTGCCAGCCTTGTGAGCTGCTGCTGATTCTGCCTTTCCTGTTAGCATATTTACCCCCGTAGTCAAACCCCTTTCCAAGTCTGCGATAGAACAGTAAAACTCAAAGGCTTGCTTAGTAGCCAGCTGCTTATTGTGTTCAGTGTGATTGAAAACAACCATGTTGTGGTACGACTTTGAAGATTATCAAAGGCCTGTTTCGTTGCTTGTGAAGATCCTTCAAGGTCCTGGTGAAGATATGAGTCACCGGGGGGGGAATATCGGAAGCAAGGACAAGTATCACTGTCATGTGGAGTTTCCGGGGAAGAATTTATAAGAACCCTCCCATTGAAGAAGGGCACCAATCGTGTGGGGTGGCAGCCTGCCCTGGACCCCGAGCCCCACATCACCGTAGCCGGCTCCCATTTCCCCCCGGGATAGAGATGAGGGGTCAGCCCGAGTTCTCCTGTAATATGTTCCTGTAATCCACACCAGCGGGCCCTGCATTAGAACCAGATGAGTCTCTGGGAAGGCCTTTCTTCCCTGTCCCAGCGCTTCTTGAACAGGCCTGTTTTTCGCCCGCACCAAACAGCGTGTTTAGGTTACAGCGGAAGGAAGCATCGGGGCGACGGGGCGCAGAATTGAACAGTGTCCTGAGTGTGTTTACTGTAAGATCGCGAGATTAACAGTACAGCTGACTTAGTGTGAACAGTATTGCAAGAAATCCTCAGTGCCTGATCTTTCATCACATCTACTAGAGCATTATTTTATTCTAGTAGTGCTCCACACAACCATCTCTCACCATAATATACGACGGCCCCTGCATGGGGAAGAGATTGTTTGTGTCAACAGGACAGCGGTGCTGTATCCATTTAAGTAGCTCATCCTGAAGTAAACACCACTATCAGCCTATTGTTGCTCCTGGGCTGCAGGTCAACATGCCATAAAGTGTTCCTGTTGGTTTTCTGTGGGAGGGGAGCAGAGTGATCATCCCTTTATTTCCTATCGGCAGTAGAGGAGGGGAAAGAAAAGGCTGACCAGAAAATGACCCACCAGCCACCAACACCAGTTTGTGATATTGGGAGTGTGTGAGTTTGCGAGTCACAGGGTTTTCTGCAGCTCATAATGCATGTAGAGCATGTCAACAACAAGAGGGTGCTTGCTTTACCAGGTCTCTTTGTGAGGAATGAGGCAAGTCTTACAATTTCATTTCAAAGAATGAGCTCGGGAGAGCGGCACTGCGGGTGTCTCAGCATCGCATGCCGTTTGGGCAGCAAAACAAACTTTTGCTGCGGGTAGAGTTCACGGCGAGTTCAGACGCTTAGAGGAGAACATCAAACCATCTGAGGATTTCAGATGAGAAAATTGCAGGGATAGTTTCTGTTTCTGCAGAGGGTACGTTTAGAGGGTAGATATTACACACAGGTGGGATTTCCCAGCTCCAACCTGCTGGCTCTGTGTTACTCTATATCCTCCACGATAGAAAAAACACAAGCCGTTGTCTTCTTTGGTCCTTGTTAAATAAAGTTACTTGCCTCTTTTCTTTGTGCATTTAAGGTTTTTTCAACCAGCCCTTTCATTTTGGTTGATGAGATGAGATATGGAAAGGAGGAGTTGTGAGTCATTCGAGGCCGACTGCAGAGACTGCACATGCCATAGTTAGCGTTGCATGTGCAGTAAGAGCCTTGCAAATGACTTATGGATTTTCCACAAGGTTGACTCATGCAAATTAAACACCAGGATTCAAGGTAAACAAGAGATGTGCTATTCGCGAGAACATCTCTCAGGGCGCTTAGAGTTTCAACTTTGTCTGCTTCAGTGCTTAGCGAATACAGGCTCATGTGGCTGAGCTCATCTATCCTTGTCAAATAGGCCCGTCTGTAGCACTTCTACGCTCGTCTCCAAGGTTCTTGAGTCTTCCACACTATTATTTCAGTGTATTTTTACCTCACTTACCCGCGTGTCCTCCTAACGCGTCTCTTTTTCCTGTTCCGTATCATTGCAAGGCGTTTACGTCCTCATTACAACAACTTCGACCCAGCCGTGGTCCCACTTCTTTTATCCTCACTTCCTTTTCTGACACCCTTCCAGCATCTTCCCCATAGCTAATGATGTCACAGGTAAGCCGGCTAGCCAAGCCTACCCTGAGCCAGATAAAGGGATTATCGTCTCGTCCCAGTAAGGCATGTTTTGTCCTATTTATCTCATCAGGTGAAGGCCTTGAGAGGGTGGAACGCAGCGAGACATTATTTAGGTTAATGTTAAGTATCCCGGGCAGTGCAGATGGCAGGAGCCGGTGATGTGAAGGCTGCAGAGTGCGGCCTCGAGATGTTAGGAGTAATCAGTACAAAGGCCTTGTCTTTTCTGTCAAGGAACCGTATGTATATTCAGTGGAGCTCTGCATGGTTGCGGGAGTCTACAAGCTCCTTATAGCTCCTTTTCATGCTAACTTTTTGGGTGCACTCATGAAGGGCGTCTTGGAGAGACTGCCTGAAAGCATGCACCATTATATAGGAGAGGAAAGAGGGGCGACAACACGCAGCAACGACCCAGGATTTCAGCCTGTGGCCCTTTGCTATTTGTGTGTTTTCTTTTTCCTTTACACCTACAGATGAGGCTTTCTCACATTGGCAGAGATACTTTCTACAAGACAGGGAAAGGACTATTTTAATGCCATGACAATAAAAACTCTTGATATTAACAACCCGGATACCAGAAGCTATAATGAACATGGTGTCAGCCAGCACCAGCAGCTAAGGAATAAGCCTCTAACACATTGTGGGTGAAGGTAAAATAATTCAACTTTTTTTCTAAAAGAGAGGAAAGGGGTTCTTGATGTCCCCAGTGATCTGAAGTGACCAATGTCTGTGTACTCTCGATGCGGATCAGCGTGCAGCAAACGGTCCCTGGCAGAAGGGACCGCAGAAGGTAGTGTTGGAGTTGTTTGTGTGAAGACCCTTGAGGAAGTATCGTATATTGGAAGGAAAAGGGGGGAGTGGAGGGTTGAGCGACGGAGCTGTGTGTGTGTGTGTGTGTGTGTGTGTGTGTGTGTGTGTGTGTGTGTGTGTGTGTGTGTGTGTGTGTGTGTGTGTGTGTGTGTGTGTGTGTGTGTGTGTGTGTGTGTGTGTGTGTAGACGGTCGTTGTTTTGCATTCCTCACCAGCACCACCCTCACTGGAACAGTGCTCTATCCCCCCCGAGCCTTGGCAGATTATTACTAATGCAGATGAGCATTTATTTATTAAGTTCAGGCTGACCGGGTTCCTGCTGTCGCACATTGGGACCTGGCACAGTTGTTTGGTCGTCATTTGCGCGTGCCGCAAGGGGAACGACAAACACACGAGGCGGCATTTTACCAGCGGACATCCGAACAGTGCCGCATTAAATGCAAGAAACTGCGGAGTGACTACCGTAAGGTGAAAGACCACAACAGCCGGAGTGGTGTTCACAGAAAAAATTGGAAGTGGCTAGATATGATGGACGCAATCTACGGACACAGACCGGCGAGTTTGGGACGAGAAGGAGGCATCGATACGGCCACCTTGTTGCTGGAGTCGACGATAGAGCCTCCCGGTAAGTTTTTAATTGTGAAATATAGTAAGATCCTGAGAAAGCGTACTTTCAATGCACAACTTTTGTGCAAGTCTGTTGTTTGTCTGCCAGCCAGCCATGTGCTATCAACCAATAATTTGCAAGCTAGCTAAACACTAGTTTATTAGCACGTTGTGGACGGAGTGCATGTCCAGTGACGTTACTTGTACAGATACCCTGATAAAATACAATTATTTTACTACTAAATATATTCTACTAAATATATATTAAAGAGAGATGTGTCTAATCATAGAGCTTAAGGTAAGAGTAAGAACTCAGTCTGAAAATAATTATGAAATATCGGAGAAAGATGTTCAATAGGCTTAAACAGTACAGTAATGTTGTGGGGTAAAAAGTAAAATATTATGCTTTGGAATCTAGTGCAATAAAAGCTCTTATAAAATTATAGATACTTGAAAAAAATACTTATGTACATTATACAAAGTAAAAATGATTTGTTTGGCTATGCCCCTGACTAGTTTGGCTAGATCTACTACGTTGTATGTTCTGTATTTATCTCAACCGCATTGTTGCCGTTTGTGTAATTAACGGGACTTGTGTAATTTTTCAGTTGAGCATCTTAGCTGTCGGGAGGAAATGGAACCCGAGGTACTTGGTGAAATTTCCACCCTTGAAAGCGCAAGTTCGCCTGCCAGGACTTCAACACCGACACCACCATCACCAGAATCGGCTCCATCAACTGCGAGTGAACCTCGGCGTGTTACAATTGGTAAGACATGAACACCAGAGTGAAAAGAAATTTAATAAATATTTATTATATTATATATTCTCCCTAAACCTAATGCAATGGGGGAATATTTGCGGGTCCTGATAATGGCAAACGTCTTGTTACCAGAATGTTAAGCATATTCGTCTTAAACAATTCAGTATTTTCAGCTTCAGAATCATGAATATTTTTATTCTAGTGCCACTATTGTCCTTGGGTTACAAGCACCAAGTCCAAGCCTATCCATTTAAACCTACAATGTAATATTAAAGTTAGCATTTTAATCAACAGTACATGTTTTGTTAACCTTTTATCATATGTAGAAATCACAAGGATCAAAAGGCTTCACTAAACAAACCAACATTACTGTCTCTTTTGCATTCCAGGCAAGAGGAAAAGGGGGCAACAGGATGTTGTTGCGGCCCTGGCTGAGATGCATGCAGCTTCGAACTTATGGGGGCT